GGTGCTGGGACTGGCTCAGCTTCTCTGTCCTAGGAGCGTGGGATGGCGGCAGGGGAACTTCCTTCTGGGTGCTGGGACTGGCTCAGCTTCTCTGTCCTAGGAGCTTGGGATGGCGGCCTGAAAATTTATTTTTTATTAGTACATATTTACAGTACATAATGTTTGTATTCCTTATAGGGAATTGGGGCATGGGCATTAATACATGTTAATTCCTTTTTTCATCCTCTTCCTCTTCCCTCTCCCCTTTCTTCCCCCTTTTCCGTTTCTTGATCCCCTTCCACTTTGAGAAAGATCTTTCTCTCTGCTTTTGCGTATCCATTTTTGTTTTTGTTTTTGTTTTTGTTTTGGTACCAGGGATCAAACTCAGGACCTTGCTCTTGTGAGGCAGGTGCGGTGCCACTGAGCTAATTCCCCAGCCCTGGATATCTTTTATTTTGCTCTTTATTTATATTTTGGGTTTCTCATATAAGAGAAACCATGCAATATTTAAGCTTCTGTTTCTGAAATCTGTAAATACTGTTATAATGGAAAAGGTAATTGACTTTGGTGTTAAGAACTCAATTCATGTCACAACCCTGTTACTTACTTTGGACAATTTTTTAAAAACCTAGCCAGGGGTGGTGTTGCACACCTGTAATCCCAGCACTTAGGAGGCTGAGGCAGGAGGATCACCAAGAGTTCAAGGCCAGCCTGGGCTACACACTGAGTTCAAGGCCAGCCTGAACTACATAGTGAGACCCTATCAAAAAAATAGGGCCGGAGATTTAGCTCAGTGGTTCTAATGCCTGCTTTGCAAGCTCAAGGTCCCAAGTTCGATCCCCGGTACAAAAAAAAAAAATCCTCAGTTTTATATCTCAAGTATTTCCCCAACTTTAAAATTGTATTGGAGCAAGGCATGGTGGTGCACAAGTGTAATTCCAGCATTCTGGGAAACTGAGACAAGAAGATCACAAAATAAACATACAAAGGGCTGTGGATGTAGCTTGGTGGGAAGACCCTGGGTTCAGTCTCCAGTAATGCAAAAAGAAAAGAAACAAACAGCATTGCCAGCATCTCAGGTGCATCTTACATACCCTTTTCAAGTTTAACACCTTCCCTTTCTCTTGTGGGTAGTCATATCGTAATTTTCATATCTATTTCCTTATTCTTCACACTTTTATTACCTAAGTGTGTAGCTCTTAACAGTATATAGTAGTTTAATTTTGCCAGACATATTGTGTGTGTGTGTGCTTTTGGGGATTGAACCCAGGAGTGCTCTTTCTCTAAGCTGCATCCCGGCTAAGTTGCCCAGGATGACCTCACACTTGTAATTTTCTGCCTCAGCCTCCCAGGTAGCTGAGATCACAGGTGTGCAACAGTATGCCTGGTACCCGTTTTTAAACTTTACATTATAAATAAGAGATGAATTCTTATAAATAAGAGATGACTATAGATGAATTCTTCATTGTATGGTCGTACTTTAATACTGTATTCATTTTAACCATTAAATGGCCAGAGTGGACTAAATGGGATATCTGCCATGTTTGATACTTATTCCTGCCCTTTAACCAAATTATCTGTTATACAGGACACTGTTGGAGGTGCCTGATGACAATGATGATGAGTGGTGAGGGATATAGCACTTGACTTTGAAAATAGATTTCTCAATGTCTGTATATCTTATATCACTCTGGTGTTCTTATGGTGATAGGATATGTTAATGTCCATGTATAGTAGTTACATATAGTAGATATGTATAAACATACATAAATACTTAGGTTTCTGATGTCAAGAAATACTTGAGTCATCTGAAACATTGGATTTTATAGACATAATACTTTCTTTTTCAGGTGAAACTTCCACCAATGATGGAAATCATAACTGCTGAGCAGCTGATGGAATACTTAGGTTAGTGTTGAAGAGTGAATGATTTTATATTTCTTTCAAAATAAAAAAAGTTTTCAAAGCTGATATATTACCCAGTCTCACCTTTCTGAAGTGATATTTTGGTTTTAATTGTTAATTTAACATATTTATAAGGATGTTAGTGTTCTTGGGTGTTATATCCTTCTTCTCCTAAGCAGCAATGAAATTTTTGTAATAAAAATAAGGAGACTGGATATATCCAGAAAACAAGGTGCAAATTAATTCCTGTAAACTGCAAAAAGGGAGAAGGCACAGAAATTCTGACATTGCATGTGGCTGGTATTTAAAAATAGCAGATGGACTTGAATTAAAGATGAAAGTGGTGGGCCAGGGATTTAGCTCAGTGGTTCCACCACTTGCCTTGAAAGCACAAGGTCCTGAGTTCAATCCCCAGAACCAAAAAAAAAAAATGAAAGTGGTGAGCTGAGGATGTAACTCAGTGGTTGAATGCTTGCCTCCAGTGTACAAGGCCCTGGGTTTGATCCCCAGCACCATAAAATAAATAAACAATGACAAAGGAAGTGATTCAGGCCAGTGCTCTTGAAAGTTTGCTTCATGGACTATGCCAGTTTATGAAATATTAATTATTGGTCTGCAGTGGGCTAGCAACCTACTCCAGGCTGTAAAACATTTATACTTGGGCCAGGGATTTAGCTCAGTGGCACCACGCCTGCCTTTCAGGTGCAAGGTCCTGAGTTTGATCCCCAGTACCAAAAAAAATTTATACTTACATTAACTAGTAAATACACTGTTTAATTCATTTGCAATGTTTTTCATGGCAAAAAATTTTTTTTTCCTGTATTGAGAATTGAACCCAGGGTCTTAGCCCTAAGCTGCATCCCCAGTCCTTTTTTTTTTTTTTTTTTTTGGTACCGGGATCGAACTCTCATCCTTGCGCTTGCTTGCGCGGCAGGCAGTGAAACCACTGAGCTAAACCCCCAGCGCAAAAACCACACACCACTTTTTTTTTTTTCCCCAGTCCTTTTAAAAATTTTTTCTTTTAATTTTGAGACAGGGTCTTGATAAATTGCCCAGCAGGCTGGGCTCGAATTTGGGATTCTTCTGTTTCAGCCTCCCAAGTACTGGAATTACAGGCAAATAGTACCATGCCTGGAAGAAATCTTGATGAGGGAAACAATATGTTAAACTAAGAACTTATGTATTCATTCTATTACCAAGTAGGAAATCTTGTTTCTACCTTCCAACCAGCTGATTTATTTCTTTGTTTCTTTATTTTTGTAAGATACAGGCTTAGTGAATTGGGATTGCAGCTTTGAAAGGACCTTTTCTTTGTGTAATTATATCACTTAATCCTCACTCCCTGGCTGTGGACCTTATACTTATGGATAGATGACTCTGAATGCCTAGAAATCTCCAGATAGATTTTCTTTTTTAATCCCTTTTTTAATTAGCTTAGTGTGTCAGGTGATGCCCAACCAGTTATTGGGGGATGCCCAATTGCCTGACTGAGGGTGTAGTAGAGGATGAAAGAATAATATACAAAGAATAAAGAACAAATGATAGAGCTGGGCTTGGTGGTGCATGCCTGTAATCCCAGTACCTGGGAGGCTGAGGCAGGAGGATCACTGTGAGTTCGAGGCCAGCCTGAACTACAAAGGGAATCCCTGCCTCAAAGAACCAAAAAGAAAAGGAACAAATGATAGTTTATTACTTGAGGGGCTAGGATCTGATCTTAGCTCTCTCCTGCTAAGACCACAACCCTTAGTCTTGTCATTTATTGATTACACAATGTAGCAGGGGGCATAGAGGCAGATGTAAGGAATAGCAGAACTAATGCACTAATGAGCCAGGCTTGTAGAAGGGAATAACTATGTATTTTTGTGAAGGACAGACAGGTCACAGTTAACAAGGTACCTGTGCTATCTTGCAGGTCATAGCTAACAAGCCACCTGTGTTATCTTTAGCTTACATTTGATCTTGGAGAATGGCTGCACAAGTCATAATTCTTCAGCTATAGTGTCATCTTGCTATTAGAGAAGTCACAATCTCATCAATCATTGAGATCTCAATTGTGACCTTTGGTGTAGGGAATTCTGTCTCCATATACCAGTGGAAGGGTCATTTAGCAAGTCACATGTAGGCCTTGGAATAATTTTAATCAGTAGTCAAATTATAAGCCAATTCAGTAATACCTTAAAGCCTGCCCGGTGCAGTTTCAAGCTGGTCTCCTGGATTAGTAATTTTTTTTTTTTTTGAATTAGTGATTCTTAAACTTAGGGGTTTCTAAATTATATGTCATGGGGAAGGCTGAATGTGCTTGTTCCTTTTGAGGAATAGTATGACTCCAAGGAGTATGCAAAGGGAAGGCAGATGAGATCAGAGAGTTAATGGCACCTGATCCCATAGGGCCCAGTAGGCTGTTATGGAGACTTTGACATTTGCAGTGAGTGCACTGGGAAACCATTAAAGGGTTTTTTATTAGTACATGTTTGCAGTATATAATGATTACATTTATTGTGAAGGGCCAGTACATGTACCTCTCTTAATTTTTTTTTTTTGGTGTTTTTTCTTTTGTTTTTTGAGACAGGGTCTTGCTCTGTAGTTGAGGGTGGCCTTGAACTCAGCTATGTAGCCCAGTCTGGCCTTGAAGTGACGCTCCTCCCTCAGCCTCCTAAGTGCTGGGATTATAGGTGTGTGCCACCACACATGACTGCCTCTTTTTTTTATGTCCCATCCCCTTCCCTTCTGGCTGAATTTTTTCCCTACTCTCCCTTCCTGCTCCCCCCATCTCTTTTTTTCCTATTCTCTATCTTTTATTTGCTCTTTACTTATATTTTGGGTTTCTCATATGGGAGGAACCATGTGATATTCAAGCTTGTGTGTCTAATTTATTTCACTGAACATTCTGGTCTCAAGGTGCATCCATTTTCCCACAAATGACTCAGGTTTATCCCTCTTTATGGCAGAGTAGTATTGCATTGTGTGTAATACCACATTTTTCTTTATCCATTCATCTGCTGATGTCCTAAATCAATACAAAGCTTTTACCTTTCACACTCTTTTTGACTTTGGGGAAGAGCCAGAAGTTGCACAGTGACACATCTGGTGATTGAGGTGTATGGGAGTCCGGGGATTTAGCTCAGTGGTTCTACCACCTGCCTTGCAAGCACAGGTTCCGAGTTTGATCCCCAGTACAAAAAAACAAAAAACCTGAAAAGGTGTATGGGGACACACTGTGTTGCTATTTTGAGCTTGCCTTTACGTTGGATGGCACTCAGCAGAGGCACTCACTAAATCATTGATTATCCTTATAAAGATACTCATGAAAGAGGACCTCCAGAACTGCTTCAGAAAGTGACAATGATAGGATAAGTGTGCTTGAGTGAGGGGGAGGGTTTTGAAAGGGATTGATGGCAATGTGTCTTTCACCAGAATACATTTTTTTAAATTTAAACAGTCATTACATATTTGATTACTCCTGAGTGATGAGATGGAAGTGGAGTGGAAAGGCATCAGAGACGAGGAAGCAGAACATCAAATGCAGATAACCACACTAGGGTGTGAGGTCAGGGCGAGATGTAGGAGGAGGTTCTGTGGAAAACACGTGCCCCATATTGAGCTTGGAAGTACAGTTGGAATCTGTACTTCACAGTAAGAAAGTCCCAAGATTAGTGTGAGTCTAGGTGAACGGTATCTTAAGCTCAAGCTAGAGGTGGAACCACCAAAGACCTATTTAAAAGAACAGTGGACGAATCCAGTTTGGCTGTAGTTGGTCAGTCTACATGCTGTATAGTTACAAGAATAGAGTTTGGGGTGGATAGGTTGTGGATATAGAGTTTGGGAGCCAGGCAGGGAGTTTGGGTTTTCTATAGTAGGTTGATTAATGTTTTAGTTTCTTAATGTTCTGTATAGTTGTAGGTTTTGTTTTGTTTTTGCAGGGGCTTGAACTCAGGGTCTTCACACTGAGCTACATTCCCAGCCTTTTAAAAATTTTTAAACAAAGTCCTGTTAAGTATTAGGCTGGGCTCAAATTTAGAGTCATCCTGCCTCAGCCTCCCAGAGTGTTGGTATTATAGGCGTGCATTTTTTAGATGGTATGGTTGAGAGCAGTTAGGAAATAGAACAGTAGCCCAGATAATGGTGTTGATTCAACAGATATTTAAGTGCCTGATGTCCAAGGTGTGATCAAAATATATGGTGAGTGTTTAAATTTTAAAACTATTTATGTCTGTAAACATTTCCATAAATCCTCTCAGAACCCTCCCCCTCACTTCACAGCTGTCCCTTCCTTCTCGCCACTTTCTGGAGCCATTCTGGGTATCTCTTTGCTTCTGGCTCTGTTCTGTGCTCTGCCAGACGTTGCTGCCATTTGCCTAACCTCCTCCCTGCTCATTTCTACACCATTAGCCTTTGTCTGTGAACATTCTGAGACTAAATGTGGTCTTTTAAATGTACTTCTCATAAATGAGGAGTACAGTCCTGGTGGCAGAGAACCCCTGAGCAGAGCTATGAGTGTGAGGCACTAATAGTATAAAAGGGTGAGGTTGGTGCAAAAATAAAGCATCACAAACATATTATAGATGAGGGAGCCAGAGCCCGGAGAGATTAAACAGTGTGCTCTCTCTGTCTAGGAATGTTCTTCGGTATCTTAAACAGTGCTGAAAAGCTTGTAGACTCAAAAGTTTAACCTTTCCCTTCCGCCACCCAAAAGTGTTTTGTGTTTTTTGTTTTGTTTTTTTTAATGAAGATTAGGGTCTTGCTCTGTAGTTCAGGCTATCCTTGAGCTCACTACATAGCCCAAGCTGGCCTCAAACTCCCGGTGATTCTCCTGCATCAGTCTCCTACTTTTTGTTTTTTGTGATGAGTTCTTACTATGTTGCCCATGGCAATATACTATGGCTGAGTTAGTGCAAGGGATTGGAATTCTGATTGGCAAAGGTTGGAGAAATCTGAGTTTCATTCTGGAAATTTCTGTTCCTAGAGTAATGATGGCGAACTTTTAGAGCTTTCAGTGATATAAA